TTGGGGGTAAAATTAATGAGAAAATGGCCGCCAAAGATTAGTTATTTCCTTAGCTTATTAAGAGTCCGTGGTGACTGAAAAGTTACATGTTTTGTGCCTTTAATCAACGTTTTTAAGAAAAATCAGCACAGAAATGAGTTCTTTAATGGACATGAAAGGTGTTGGGCCAAAAAACAGAAAATTGATAAAAAATTCCCAAACCTGCGGAAAAATGCAAGTTTCTTCATTTTGATTATTTTGACAAGAGCCTGATTCCACCACGCTGCCTCACAAATGACTATGATGAGGTCAAATCAGCTCGGCTATCATCAGCATGTATGATGTAATGTACCACGGCATGGCACCAAAGGGACATCAGTGGAAACAATTCTTTGTCCTTGCCTCTTTAAGGTGAGTCAGCCCCCTTACTTCTCTGCGTGAGGAAACCAGTGCAATGATACAGAGTGATTGTTCGTGTGTGTGTGTGCGTACGTATGTGTGTGTGTGTGTGTGTGTGTGTGTGTGTGTGTGTGTGGGTGGGTGTAGAAGGATGTGTGTGTAGAAGGATTAGATATAAAAGTATCCCAGTTGTCGAGGGATTTGTTTTCTTTCTTGATTGTTGTATTTTTTCTCTTTTCGGCAAAAAAGAGGCGTGTTGTGTACATGATGCATGTTTACTTGCGTGTTTCTTTTCCTCCTCAACTGTTTGCTCGCACGGTAGCTCAAACTGAGGTCCACTTTTTAAACTGTTTAGTTGTATTGTACAAACAATTTACCCAAAGAAACTTGGAATGAGAAAGCCAGTGATCAGTTTAAACACAACGTGTTTAGGACGCCTCGATCACTCCCTCTCATCAATGTTATCTCAAGGGTTCGTCAAGAATTGTTCATGCACGCACCAAATAGTTCTATAAAATATACGTTTGAGAGGCGGGGTGTGGTATTAAATGGTTTTACTCGTTCACTATAGACTCACATTGTTTAGTGTTTTTTTCCACACACGCTTGCATACGAGCACACACGCATGTACACTCACTCCACATATACACAGACATACGTCACGCGCTCATTGACACTTTCCAGCAATTACTTTTTTGCCAATATAGACCAGTGTATTAAACATGTGACGCACACTGAGAAAATAATTCTTCTATCGTGACGCAAACAACCCAATTTATTTCTTATATATTTAGATCTATATATTATCATCTTCAGATATGAGGTTTTGTCATGGTTCTATTAACAATAATAAATAATGATTCAAGATTCTAATTCTTGCCGTGAAATGTTTGTGCGAGCAAGGGGCAAGGCAGTCTGTTGTTGTTGTTATTTATTTATTTTTGTTTCAAGCCACAGTTGGTGCACGGTTTCTTAAATAATATATGAAGACAACCTAACTATCCTTCGCAAGTCAAGCGTTCAAACGTCGTGGAAAATGGTGTCTGGCATCGAAAGAGAGGGGTTCTCCATCCACATCGTGATGCCGCAGCAAGCCGAAGATATTTTTAGAATCGTTCATTGAACGTCACTTTAGTCACGTGACACTGTCATTGCCGGATATCTCCGAAGATCGAGAAATGGAGGCTTTCGATCGTTGCGCAGAGGCTAGTGGTGGGATAAAATCCCTTGCTTGTGTGTAGAAGAGCATTCTTCTTGGATTAGTAGAATAGCTGGTTGTTCGTTCATCAGTGCTGTTGTGTGGGGATATAATGGCTTGCAATTTTTTTGTATTTTATCACTGTTTTGTGTGCTTATAATTCGTTGTTTTTACCCTGTTGCGGTAACACAGGCAGCTATTTAGTGGGCACAACCGAGCCTAGCCTACCGTCCCGTTGCTAGTCACCTCGCCTCATTTTTCGGCAGCAGACAGCTCCCCGGGGGAAACTTGTAATAGATCTAGATCTAACTAGAATCCAACCCTCTTTAAAGCCCTTTTTAAAACTAAGTCTTCAAATATCGTGATCTTTGGGATAAATTCTATGAAGTGCGTCTCACGAAGGTGTTACTAATCTAGAATTTGTGATTTTTGTGATCTCGAAATAAATTCGTGGAAAAATAGATCAAAGGTGGTGTGTGTACTTCTGGGGATTGTTTATGTTCAGTTCGTTGAAGAGGCCCGTCACAAAATGTTTAGAAATGTCAAAATCTGAAGTAGGCCTAAGTGATACCCTCCCAGTTCTGGATTACAAAGAGTCTAATATTTTGATTAACCCACAGAGTAATAAACAAGGAGTAAATCATGGCTACAACAGATTGCTCTGTCGCCAGTAGTACAGCTCCCTCTGACAATAACAACGTGAAATCAGTATCAGATATGTCGACGACGGTGCAATCCCCCACGTCGCCCAAAGCCCCTGTGCAGTTGGGTCCAAAACACAAACTCATAACCGAAGCTGATGTTCAAGTATGTCGTCTGAACCATACTCGAACTATTGTGAGCAAAATTATGAACTCAAGATACCTCCGGCGATGGGAAAGTCACAGAATTGTTCTGGATCATAATGAAGTCAGATCTACTACGGTGAGTTTATTTTTTTAAACTTGAAAGCTATATATAAAGATATGGTGAGACATTCAGTTGTCATAAATAATAGAAGACAAGACTGGAGTGTGAAGATGAATGTGTTTTGGAGACATGAAGCTGCAGCGAGCACCTAGCACACCTCTGTGACTGGCCCAAATATAGATGACATATTTCCGCCATATATTTTTATCGTCTTTTGGGGTTTCCCCTCAGACTCTTGGGTTTCCCTCGCCAGTAACATTTGACTAAAATATCTAGATCTAGATTTCCAGATCTCGCCGTGGTTTTTTTATTTTGTTGTTGTATTAATTTGTATATCTTTTATGAACTATCTCAGCAATTCCCGTACCATAAATTTACCTTCTCCTGAAAGTTGCACACACACACACACACACACACACACACACACACACACACACACACACACACACACACACACACACACACACACACACACACACACACCCAAGCACGTGCTTACACACTCATGGGCGCACACACAGCCCTAGTGGCAAAGCGGGCCTGCCACGGTGAGATCTAGTCAACTGGTGAGGGAAGTTTCGGAAGACGACAAAAATAGATGCAAGCTTTAGATGCAAGAGTTCATTTGTTGAAAATGGTGACTCAAGTTTTATAGATCTTTAAAAATGTTCTGTTGTTGCTTACAGAATCTTACAGGATGAAGTGAATGACCAAATGAATAAAAACTGAAGTTATAGTAGAAAGAAGTGAACATGACAACTGCCACATTTCATCAGCTGTGGGCTACAATGGTCGATCATACAAATTTAATGTGTTCTATGTTTAAAATACAATTCAGATTAGGTCGATCTCTTTTAGAAAAAAAGTTACACTCTTTAATTAAGCCTGCTAAATTTAAACAAAGGTAGCATTCCTGAGAACATGACAGAGCCGAATTTTCATGATTATGAGTTTAGTAAGGGAATTAAAGCTGTTCATCAATGCTGCATGGAAAGCAAATGGGAATCCCAAATGTGTTTTAAAAATTATTTTTGGTGGGGTGGGGGGTGGCAATGGCTTTGAGCGGTTAGTGAGCTCATGCTTGCAATAATTGGCACAGAGTTGTATCGCAAATCAGTTGTTACTGTGGTGGCAGTTGAAAGCAACACAGCATCATTTATTGTCGTCCCTAAGCTCTCGGTTGTGCCAAAGGCACAGTTGGCAGTGAGTTGGCTTTAGAGCTGTTTATGTTACAAATTAGAGTGTCTTAAATTAAAACCATGGGAAGGTAACAAAATTATAAGGCCGAACACTTTAGTCGAATCACATTCAGCCGTAAAAATAACATTTTTTTCCTGAGACTTCCAGTAAATTTTTGGTGAAAGATTGGATAATTTAAAAGATTACATTTTTGTGATGCATTGATGTAGGTTTTGAAATGGTTTCTGTAATTTTGCTTAGTTCTGACATTCAGTTTTGTAGCTCTGTTGCAAATGTCAACATTAGATATACATCGATCAGCAAATGATGAGAATTTGGATGGTTGTGGTATCTGTCAAAATTGTATGGAAGTGCCCTTTTATTAAATGTTTAAGAATTTTAGAGAGGTGAGACACTTTAAGTTATTCATTCATTGTTAAAACTAACTCCGATTGGAATGAAATTAAAAGATTCTGAAATGCTTTAAAAGCAGTCTTTACTTGATTTCACAGTAATTTCACTTTTAGCGTCCTTGCCTTGCAGATTGCATCTTTGTGAAACAGAATTTTACCAACTTCTCTAAGTAGGTTGTACTGACTTGTTTCTCATCATCATGCGGAATTCAGGAAAATGTGAATGTCTGTCGTGACATCCTGACTTTTGTCTCTTTTTAACTGATAAAATTTTTGCCTAAATGGCTTGAAAATGATGTTCTATAAGAATGGTTTTGATAGGCCTAATATAATATATTATATTGCATTTTTATAGTCAGTTCTCTAACATGTTTGAGTGTGTTACCATGTACGCCCTTTTTCTTTTTGAAAGGATGTTTGCTTTGATTGTTCCATGTGTGCAACATTCTACCTGTCTAAGTTTGTCTGCACAGTCAATCTGAATCTCTTCTTAATTCATCATTTTCAACCCTAGACATTAGTTCCATGTTTTCTTCAATGGTGGTCACTTGTTGAGCATGAAAGAAAGTGCCGCCTAATGTATTTTTCACATACAATATTGGCTCTGCCATTCCATCAGCTCTTTGTCATTGTCACTGTCACTGAGATTCAAATCCTCCCGCTGTTGTCTTTAGGCAGATAAAGGTCTGTTTCTGTCTCCTTGTGATGATGAACTAGCATAAAGTGTGTCTATCACTGACTTGTTCCCAAAAACGTGGTACATGTACACACATGTTGTGTAGGTAATGACTGTGATTCCTCCAACTTGTTTTGACAGTCAACCTTGTGCAGCGAAACCAATCTGATTTTTAAAATGGCATTGAGCTGAGTTTTGAACATACTTTTTAATTTAGAATCTGCATTCTGTGTAGTCATTGCTTTACTGGGATCTACGCCTCGCTATCATGGTCTTTTGTACTGTTCTGAGCTTCTTAGACTCTTTTCCCACGGTCATGCAATATTGCTGTCTGTTCTTTGCCTTGTTGAATCATCGGCAGGGCACACCCCCCCCCCCCCCCCCCCCAGTGGGTGGTTGGCAAGTGCTCTGGTGTGGCTTGCTCCTTTCCTATCAAACAATTATCGTCTTTATATCTCCTCCTTCTTTTCATGTTTGTTGTCTCTTTAAGACCTCTAATCTTCGGCATTTATATGACCTAAGTGTTGCAAGTGCCATAAAACTATTACTGAGACTCGAGACGTAAAGTCCCCCCCCCACCCCCATTTCCCCTATGGGCACAGCTGTGTACGTTGTCCAGTCAATAATTTAATGCTTTTAAGATTTTTCGTTTGGATCTGAGATTTTTTGGCAGATTAATGTGATGAGCTTATTTCTTAAAGAGAGTCTTTCTAATAACGTAACTGAGACGTATGTCTATTGCGTTTTTTGAACACTTTTCTTTGATCTGATGTCTTTGAGTTCTTATGATTTATCCATGTAGTTAGTTGGCCAGTTTTTACAAAGAAACGTAGGTCAGATGTGCCTTGTCCACCAGGGAACGTGCTAGTTTTATACTTACAGCCGTCCTAGTGTTCGTTTCTTAGATTAACCTTTTCTTTTCCGTTTGTGAAGTCATTTCTTTTTATGTGTCTGGCCCAGGTAGCAGGCAGGCCGTGTACAAACAGCCGGCTTTTGCTTTGCTTCTGAGGTTTCCGTGGAGTTCACGACGGTTTTTTCTTCGCCCTTCCTCCTGTCTCGTCACTATTGAATGCTGGCGTTTCTAGTTCTTAAAGACTTTTTGACCGAGCTTGTGTAATTCACCCTGCTTGTTAGCTGTCTCATTTCTCAAGGCACGGTGTACATCGTTCTGGTGGCCTGACAATTTTGTTACCATAAATCTTCGACATCTTGTGTTTGCTTTTGAGATCAACCCCGATAGGCCCTTTCTGTCTGTCAGTGGGCACAGTATGACTTCTGATCCCATGATAATATTGGTGCCTATTCTTTTTCTTTCGTTTGTTTCTGATACTTTGGGTTACCATTTTTTGTGTTTTTCTTTTCTTTTTATTTTAAGAGCACACATTGTTCCTTTTACTTCAGATAAAAACATGTTCTTGTTTTGGCTGCTGCGAAAGAAATAGTTATATTTCATCTAGTCTGAGATTTGTCTTGTGCCGACAACGTCGCACCCCCCTCCCCTTGTTCCGGCTACAGACTAGTTTTTTCCCCCTCACCTCAACATTGTTCGTTTGGTTTTGAGATACATGTACATTGTCATGTATTGTCAATTGCTTTATCGGGCTGAGATACATGTACATTGTCATGTATTGTCAATTGCTTTATCGGGCTGAGATACATGTACATTGTCATGTATTGTCGGTTGCATTATCGGGCAGCCTCTGCCCCTCAAGTTATTGGGCTTGTTAAACTGGCGTTCTCATCGCGTTCATGACTCGGTCGGTGTTTTGGTGATTAAATCAGCAGTTGGAAGGAATAGATTGCCATTGAGGCGTACCGGTTACCAAACTATTCCTCGTAAACATCAAGACGTGAAAAAAATGCGTTGTGGTCTGTACAAAATGCTGATTCAATTGCTGTTTGAAATAAGTTGTTTAGGTCAGCGCCGGCCGTACGCTTCTCCCGATTTTGTCTTCAAGTGTATGCAGCGGAGAGTTGGATTATTATTGATATTGTCATTGGGGAAAACAGAACTACATGTAATTCCGATTCACCTATTGTTCACCGTTTGAATCGCGCATTTCCACCGCATAATGACATAATGCCCGGCCACTGCACGTGAAACGATTAATTTAGCAGCTTGCATGACGTACTGGATTTGCTTTGCTCTTTGAAACTGGAAGCATCCAGTCCGCTGATAGCGCTGCGACCCCGCACAATGTGGCATGTACAAAACGGCGGCCCGTTGAGACTGGTGCCGAGTTTGTTGATTTATTTATTAACAGTCCTCGTGCATTCCCACGGGCTGTTCATTAATTCATGCTGCCGTCGGCTGATAACAACCGAGATACGCTTCCGTTGAATGTGGTAGTACAAAATGCATGAACCTGTTACAACTGTAATGTATTGGAAATACCAGGGGGTATCACAGTATCACTAGTAACAGTCTCCCCACACACGTTCCCGGGCAACACAAGGGACGCACATGTATATTGTATTGTGTATTGATGTATATGTTTGTATAGTGTATTGATGACAGCCTTGCTTGCTTGTTTGTTTGTGGGACTCAGATTTTGGTTTATATGTTTATTATGGGCGCTACATTTGCTCAGTTGGTATTAAGCTGGTCTTTGGAGCGGATGGCCCATGTTCGAAACCCAGATTGAGCGTTCTTGAACTGTGGTCGTTTTGTGGAGTTTTCAAAGCTCTCAACCCGTTTGGTTCCGTCCAATTAGAGACAGACGTTGAAAAATCAGAGGACACGTCTC